TGAATGTATATTAAAAATAATACATGATATAGCGGTTTGGTTTGATTTGTTAAATTATTTTTTGATTTTTTTGAAAAAATATAAATAAATTTGACAAAAATAAATTGTTTGGTTTGATTTTTCAAATGGTTGTGGAAGAATGTGGCACCTCCCTAAATTAAATTTTTTTGGTTGGTTAGCTTGGAGGGGTAGAGTGCAATCCGATCTTACATACAATTTATAAGTAATTATGTGCTTATATGCAGACACCTGCAATAAGCTATGTCCTAAAGTATGGATTTAGATAGTTAACAACTAAGTGGAAACCTTTAGCTAAACCCAAATGAAAATAAATCCTAAGAATTTTTAATCATATTCTGGGTGCCTGACCCCAAATATAGTGAAATAAACCAAACGAAACTAAACCAAAATATTTTTATTTGAATAAAATAGAGTCGAAATTAAATATTTTGAGAGAACATGTTCTTTTCATTTATTATTTTGAAGTCAATAAAAATATTTTTTTTGAATAAAATAGAGTCAAAATTAAATATTTTGAGAGAACATGATCTTTTCATTTATTATTTTGAAGTCAATAAAAATATTTTTTTTTGGAATAAAATGGAGTCAAAATTAAATATTTGAGAGAACATAATATGAATTTCAATGAGGAAAAATTCCAATTCATGAGTAACATAGTATGAATTATCGGTTTATGAGTAACATAACTAAGAGTTTGTTTGATATTTTTTATTAGGTACTCTTGGAAAGTCATGCGTTTATGTTTTTCACTAATCATCCATTGCCTTTAAGTAAAAATTGATTTACTGACCTCTTAATTTATAAATAATATGACTAAAAACTTGTTTGATATTATTTTTTTAATGATTTTTTTGACTTTTTTATAAGTTAAAAAAGTTAATATGAAATTGGGTTGCTTTTTAATTTTTTTATCAATTTTTATTTTTTAAAAAGCTATTTTCACAAAATAAGGTAATGTTTTTTGGGTGAATACAAAATAAGGTAATATTCTTTACAATGTACCATAATATCTATACAAGTGATTGGACTTATAGATTTTCATAGGTCGGTATTATTTGGGTGAGTGGCAAATCGAAAATGAAATTTACCTAATTAGTTCTAGATTATGCCAACCAATTGATGTAGAAACTGAATAAAAAATTGAATATACAACCACAAAGTCAACAATTCATGCTATGTATATTGGTAATTATGTGTAACAAATAAAGAATACTCTAACTGTATATATGATTAAAGCAAATTGACTTTAACACATCAACTTCATGTATAACATATACAAAATGAAAAACATTATACAAATTAATAAATTTTATAAATTATTCTTAATAATTGATACATCATGTACTAATAAAATTTTTAAAATTAAAGCATGAATTATTTTAATGATGTAATAGGTGTTATACTAGTAGTTAATTTTTTTTTTATAATAAAAATTTATTAATATATATAACATTATCAATTTAAAATAGGGATAATTGGTGAAAAGTCCACACTCATGGGGCCATATGTTATTCGGTTCATGAAAAATTCCAAATTCCAATTCAAACAAACTCTTAGTTATGTTACTCATAAATATCTCAATTCATGAATTTCATAATATGAATTTCAATTCTCAATTCTTAATTATATGAATTTCATAATATGACATTAACAATTATCAATTATATGAATTTCAATTTTTGTAATTTTATTCTTAATTAAAAAAATTACTTTTCAAACCCTAATTTCCTTTTAATTCCTCTTAACAAGCAAAAAATAAAATTTCCAATTCAACAAATATAGGTTGATTTATTCACAATTCAAAATTCCAAACCCTAATTTCAAAAAATATAGACATTTTGATTCACAAGCATAATTTCAAAATTCTAATTTCTGATTTCAAATTTCAAAATATAGACATTTCATAATTCCAATTCAACAAATATAGGTTAGTTTATTCACAAGCATAATTTTTGATTTCTGATTCAGAAGCAAAATTCCAAACCCTAATTCCAAACCCTGATTTCTGATTTTAAAAAATTCCAAACCCTAATTTCTGATTTCAAAAAATTCCAATCCCTAATTTCTGAAACCACAAGCATAATTTCTGATTTCACAATTCAAAACCCTAACATTTTATGATTTCATAATTTCATAACCACACTGATAAAACCCTAACACATTGCAACCCTAACACATTTAATAATTGACATTTAGAACCCTAACATTCACATTTTCACAAACACACATTCACATTTTCAACCACACATTCACATTTTCACAAACACAATAAATGAATACATAAAATTCAAATGATACAGACAGAGCTAGATGCCATACCACGGAGAGAGAGAGAGAGCAGAGATAGAGAGTGAGAGCAGAGGGCGAGCGAGAGCGACAGTGAGAGTCTGAGAGCAGAGCGAGATCGAGAGCGGGAGAGCCTGAGCAGAGGGAGATCGAGAGCAGAGAGCGAGAGAGTCTGAGCAGAGAGCAAGAGACGAAAAAACGTACGTGTAAAAAACGTGATTGCAAATTAGGGGGCTTGGGTGTTTTATATAACTTTTAAAAGCGTGGTTTCAATCCACACTTTCATTTATTAGCAGTGAAAGCGTGATTCCAAATAGCGTTTTCTGAAGAAAAAATAATACACAGTGAAAGCGCTATTTCAAATAGCGTTTTCTGTGAAAGCGCGATTTCAAATAGCGTTTTATTCAGAAAAAAATTTTATGTTAAAAGCGTGATTTGCAACCACGTTTTCTTAATTAAAAGCGTGGTTTGCAATAGCGCTTTCACTATTCATCACATTTTGGGCTCCAAACAGTGAAAGCGCTATTTGTAATAGCGCTTTAGCCTAGTTTGGGAATTCCGTCCAAACTAGGCCTAGTTTGGGAATTAAGATACAAAATAGGCTTAATATGGGAAAAGCCCCCAAAATTTGTTTTCTTCCTCATAGTCGGTGTGGATGATTTGAATCAACAGAGCTACGCCAAGAACCCAGCGTTACACCATGTTACACCACTCTTACGTTCTTTTTATATATGTTCTAGATATAGATTTATAAAATTTATTTTAATCTTTTTTATTTTATTTTCATAATATATATATATATATATATAATTTTTAATATAAAATTTTAATTTTTATAAAATTAATATCATTAAAAATATTTTTTTTAAATAAGATTAATATTAAATATAGTTAATAAAAATTTATAATAAATAAAAAGTAATTACTATGTTTAGTTATGCTTTCAAGTTATTATTTTTAAAATATAAAAATTATTTTGATGAAAATAAATACACAAAAATCATATATTTTTAATTCTCAGAAATAATATTCATTCTAAAAATATATATATATGAAAATAATGAATTTTAATTTAATTTTATTTACCAAAAACTAATTGGGTGAATGGAGTAGCCTCCAGAGTAAATGAACCCAAAGGGCATTAAATTATTTTTCCTTGTGATGGAGGATTAAGACTCCATTCTACACTTAAATGAAAAGGGTAATAATTTAGTAGTGTGAGTGTTGATTTTTGACCTCACAACCAAATAGGGAATTTAGTTGGAGAGTACGTGACAAAATAAATTAAACCAAGCACTTGCACACGAGAAAATGAGAATACCACGGTGGCACCTATGCACAAGAAAATTAGAATACCACGGTGATTCATCCACCCAGGAGCACTCCGACGATCAAGTCAGTCACTTATCTCTAAAAAATATCAACACAAAATGACTCTAGTTCAGAACATACCTTAAACCCACGAGATGCCCTCTTTATATAATGATTAGTAGCCAATTTTCCTTAGAAGTTTTATTTCATGGAGCTAAATCTTTTACAAGGATAACATCTATTACAACTCACACTATTCATATTAAGATGAACTTGTTCAAGAGTCTCATCTCTATCCAAACAGACAACTTAATGTTATCTAGAACTCTTGTCCTTTATCTGAATATCTCGAATTCCGATATAGTCGCACTATATCTCGGCATCTCAGCTCATTCACGTGGCACCTCGACATTCACCTTGGCCACATGGACAACCCTAAAAATATGTCCCCACAAGTAGTTTTGCCGCATCATGTCTCATTGTTTGTATGTTAATCCACATTTGTTAAGTAGTTGAAAGTAAAGAAATAAGGATAAATTATACTGGTGATCCTTATATTTTGCCCCTTATGTTAATTTGGTCTCTCCAATTTTAATTGGCACAATTTTGACATTTAATTTTAAATTTTGTGTCAATTTGATCGAATTGATAATGTCGTTAATGTTTTTAACTGAAAATAATTACTGTATTAGTTGAGATTAACTCACTGAGATTAGTAAATTTATAATTTTACTCTAAAAAAATCACATGCCACTTATATGCATATTTTTCATAAAAAAATGTTAAGAGTTATAATTAATTTCACCAAATTAAAACAAAATCATAAATTCATGATTAAAATAAAGCCAATTGAAAGTACAAGTACCAAAATGACATAAGAATCAAGGTACAGAGACTACTGTCACAATTTGTCTAAAAAATAACCTTGATATGTTTTACGATTTTTCATTTGTAGGACCGATCTGTAAATAATATCATATGACAATTTGAGACTCTTAATAATTTTCTGCACACAAGTCTACATGATTTTAAGTACTTCTAGTTAATTATTTAGAGCATCTTCACTTGAATGGTCATTAGGGGTGGCACACATGACAATAAAAATTCACGTGTAATTGCGCTCCACCTGAACTTGTAAAATTGAGTTGGCAATAGGCATGTCAATGTCGAATTTGACATTGTCAAAGAAGACGTCAAATTTCTTTTATTTTTATTATTTTAATGGTAAAGACACTATAAATTAGTTTTAAAAAAATTAAAGTTAAAAAAAAAATCAATAAAAGACCATATAATATAATTTCCAAAGGAGATGCTTTGCCCAAGGAAAATTTAATTGCTGAATGAAGGCCAACAACAAGAATAATAACAAATTATAGTGCATATTTTCGGGTTAAAGAAAGCATTCATTTATATATTATAGTACAGAGGAACAAAAAGATTATTAATTGATAGAGCTTAGTTGACAGCACAAACATGAGGTAGCTGTTCTAAAACAATCTCTAGTTACAACTTTGATAACACAAAAAATAAAAGAGCATATAACATAATTTCTTAGTTGAAAGCCCTATATGAAAAGCTTGCAATATTTGAGTCCACGGCAGCCGATCTTCATTAGGTATCAGTTGCTCTTTTGTGTGAGTTTAATGTGAACCCCATCTACAAAGTCCAAAATGGGTCTCCGAACGATCTTTCCTCCCCTAATTTTTGTCCAACTGTTTTTCAAAAGAAATATCACAAATTAAGTTGCAACCCAAACAACATTGACCATTCTTTTGTTAACAAGCTTGAGTAAACACTTGGGGAAAAAAAGATTCTTTTACCTATACTTGGTGACCAATACATGGAGAAAAGTGCATACAAACGCCCTAGCGTAATCTGCACCTGCGCATTGTCTCACCCCTCCTCCAAAGGGCATAAAATTCTTTGATATAACAGTTGGATCAAGGTCCTATATGTCGTCAACAATTAAGGAGCAAAATTAGTACCTGTCAATGGCTTCTTTCAATGATCAAGTCTCACTGTTAAGCATAAGATTATAACAACTACTTTGTAAAAATTTACAAAACTCTCAAGCCATCACTTCCTGGAGACAAAAAAGGAAAGGCAATGGTATAAGCTCAAGATGGATTGGCACGCACCTTCCAACGTGATGGATTGAATTTAACTGGATCCTTAAAGGCTTCTGGATTTAATTGATGAGCGGAAGTAACAATCAAAATGTTCCAACCAGCTGGAACTGTATATCCTGTTGAGTTTTTAACCAGTAGACATTTTAATTTCAATTATTTGTAGGTTATATTTGCATGAAGCTGATTAGGGTATTGGGGGTGTTTGGTGGGGTTTTTTTGAGCCAACTTATGACTTCTGGCTTTTAAAAAGTTATTTTGGACTGTTTAGTTAAACTTATTTCAAACAGTTTCTGATTCTAACAACTTATTTTAAGTCAAAAAAACTAATTCTGAGAAACTGCTGACCCCTTACTTCTCATTATCAGCTTCTGCTGTGGACATGTTAATTCACGGTTATACTCTTAAATTTTTTTATTTTTTATTTTTTTAAAAATAGAAAAAGACCCAAATGGACTATAGAAATATTATTATTATTTTTTATGAGAAATATAGACAAATAGTAAATAATAAATATTAAAAAAGTTAATTGAAAAAGTTATTTCACAGCTTATTTAACAAACATTACTCAGCAACTTAAATCTATAATTCAACAGCTACACCAAACAGATTAATAGCTTCTGATTAAAGTCATAATCTATAATCTGTTAAGTTATAATCTATAATCTGTTCTAACAACTACACCAAACAGGACCATTGTGATCCAATTATAGTACTTACCATTGAATTTGATATCTTTTGTGACTTTTCTTAGCAGCCCTGGTGCTACATTTCCTAACCTAAGAACTTCATTCACGACCTGTAATTTTTCAAGTAAAGTGAAAATTCCAATTAATTAATCCTTCACTAGCAGAAGACAAAAACAAATAAGTGAGATGATCATATAAACATACATTAAGTGTGAAAGTCATTGATTTATATTCTTCCCAAGAGAGTGGAGAATCTGGATTCTCTCTGTTTTTAACGATTGCCTCGTTTTCAGCCTGACAAAATCAAACGATCACCAATTAATGTCATAATTATATATACAGAAAGAGTAGTCTATCATTGTTCAGCTAAGGCCAAAAAAAATTAAAAAATCAATAACGGTTAGTTAGTTAAATTGTAAGTTTGCAAACGTACTGTAAGCTCCTCTAATATTGAAGGATGCTCCGAGAGCAACTTCAAAGTCAAAAGTATAACAGAAGAGATTGGCTCAAAATTTCCAAATAAAATTCCAAACATCAAATTGGATAGAAATTCGGCTGTTAAAAACTTCTCAGTTTTCATGTCTTCCATTGCTCTGTCAAGGAAGTCCCCTCTAAACTTGTTATCGGAATCGATTCTCTCTTGTACGATATTCTTCAACATGCTTAATAATTCCTTGCGTTCCTAGATACAACCAAATAAAAATTGGCAACTATTTCAGTATATAATAAAAAAAAATTGGCAACTGTATCAGTATATACATATATCTTCAAGAACAAGTTTAATTTTTTTGTTTTTAGGTAAGTAATTACCTTGACGCATTGGTGGAAAGTAGTGCCAGGGATGTCCAAAGGAAGGGACAAAAGACCATGCAATAAGGTTGAAAACTTCTCACTATGTCGCATCTCTGATGATTTTTCCCAATCATAGCCATACAACTGCTTCAAGGTGAAATCAAAAATCATCTGCAATAACCAAACAGAGATATATATGTTATCGTCAATCAAATATCAAACACAAAAAATTAAAGATAATTAATGAACTAGAGATGAAATTAATTAGTTTGGAATATCTTTAAACGTACACAAGTAGCATCATGTTTGACATCAACAATTGGCTTGGTGGACCAATGATGAAGAGTTTTCTGAATGAGTTGTTCAACTTGTGGTAGCAAATTCACTCTGATGCCCTCAACTCCAAAGTGTGTCAAAGTTATGCTTCTAATGTACTTCTGGACAGAGCCTACAGCATATATGGGCAACATGCTCGAAAACGTGTCCAAATACCACAATTCTACGGATTTCCCTTCTTCTGTAATGATGTAATGATTGAATTTTGGGTCGGTTGTTATAACAACTTGTTTACCGGCCACATTAGTTCGGAACACTGATCCATATCTGCACACAAACACATCAACAAAAAAAAATTATTACACTTCAATTACAAAAAAATATATAATTTATTTGGCAAAATTCTATTTAAGTACCTCTGGACTCTCTTAGAAATGAAGGGATGGAGTTCTAAAGATCGGTTGGGAATGAGAAGCTGAATGGTCTCTCCGATGAGAGGGAAGCCCATGGACCCAGGTGGAAGAACACCGTTTTCGCATTTGGGATTCCTCCATTTGCGAACCCAGTGCGTTACGAATATGGTAACCAATGCTACCACAACGGTGGTCACTGCTACTCCCACAGGCAACATATTTTCTTGCTAAGTAGTACTCTTCAGTAGAGTTGTGAGTGTACAAGTAGAAGAAGAAAAGAGAGTACTAGCAATAGTATGGGGATTGTAGATATCTCCCAACTAGTGTTCTTTCTTGTTGTGAGATGATGGGTTATTTGGTACTGCTTGTGAATTTATACTAGTATGGATAGAAGTTGGAACTACCAACCCATAGTTGCATACCCCTCTCTCACTCCCATTAATTTATTGAAAAATTAAATGGAAGGATAACGTGGACTAGCTTGAGTTTCGTGCAGTTATAATCTAAATTTTATGCAAAGGAGGAGGATCTCTTCAGTTGAGATTTTAGATTTGAGGGCGGGGTTTGAACTTATGGGATCTATTATGAGTCTCGTTGTAATGATTCGAACCGTTCATTTTGTTAAGCACTTTGTATATTTCGTTCACATAAAAAATTAGATCGATCTGATAATTGCAACTTGTTCAATTTATTGAGTTTGTCAGTACAAAAAAATGTATGATTTATTTTTAAAAATACAATTGTTTTTTTTTTTTTTAGTGAAAAATTGAACCAGTTATAATTATCGGATCGACCTAATTTTTCATGTGGACAAAATACACGAAATGCCCAACAAAATGAATGGTTCGAATTATTAAAACAAAACCCGTGGTGATCCCTACAGGCCCAAACAACGCCCTTCAATCCAAAATCTGGACTGAAAAAAATCCTCCTCCTTATACTAAACATAAATGATAAATATTTTGATTTAAAATAAAAATAACCACAAGTCATAATATTTATATAAAAATTATGTGTAAATATTTTGTTTGTGTGTCATTACTTTGTTTGATATAAAGGTAATATCATGACAGCACCATTAATTAATAAAAAAAAGTTAATAAGATTAATGGGTAACAAAAAAATATCTATATAATTTCATTTGTTTTTATTATTTGTCGAAGTGTGAGAAGAGGTGTGATTTTGCTCAATATTTTGTTCGAGTCTAGTGGCCTTATTTTACAAGTCTTTCGCCAGCCATATGAATGGTCTGACAAATCTATACTGTAGTCAAAAATGACAACAAAAAAATCTATATTATATAGTGGGAGACAAATTAGGAATGGAAGGAAAATAGGGAAGCGAGGTTGAAGGATAGTTTGGATGGATGGGAATCAAATAGAGATTTCCCTATTCAAATTTTGTTAAATATATAATTTTTTATTTTCAATAAAAAAATAATTATGCGAAGTTTTATGTTTATAATCATCTTGTAGTATAAAATGATTTTGAATTTTAATATATTGCAACTTTATAAAATGTTATAAAATTTTTTGAAAAATAGAGGGGATCAAAACCCAATTTGATTGAAGCTTGAATTTTTTTTTTATCAAAAAAAAAAAGATCTTTATTTTTTTTATTTTTTTCTCATCCCACACACATATTAAGTAATTATCAAACATAAACTTCCAAATTTATTTCATAATCTACTTATCAAACATAAACTTCGAAATTTATTTCAAGGAGATTATGAATGAAATTTTAGATCTCTCACTTAATAAGGTGTTAGTGACTGTTGTGCAGCTTATGAAAATTGTTTTGGATTTTATTTTTATTATTTGAACCATTCAATTTTTAAAAAACATCAAGTAGAACATACCTATAAAAAATCAAGTTGATCGGATATCGATAGACCCTTCATCAACTCGAATTTGCATATATAAAACATAAATATATAAGTATTAAACTGAATACAAATATAAGTTGATGAAGGGTCTATCGATATCCGATCAACTTGATTTTTTATAGGTATGTTCTAATCAATATTCTTTAAAACTTGAACAATTCGGATGCTGAAAATAAAGTCCGAAATAATTTTCATAAGCTTCACCACAGTCACTGTTGTGCAAGCCGCACGGCAGTGGCTCCAACTCCTTAATAAGAGAGTAATTATCGATCTACTTATTAAAATGATGAGATTTGAAGGGAAAAAATATATTAAATCCTACAAATTTGACATAATTGTATTAAGCTTTTTTAAGATTTTAATTCACAAGATACTTAATTTCTATTTTATCAATAATTTATTAATCATATGTATAAAAGAAAATAATATTGTCACTTCTTTTATATTAAAATACATATTTTACTTTATTTATCCTTGTGCATACATACTATTTATATTAATTTTAGCCGTTTTAATCTTATGAAAAGGGAAGCCTATCTAATTCTGGCCAACTTATGAGGGTTATTGTATGTGTTTCAAATCTAAAGGAAGGTCATTGTAATTTACTTTATTAAAATTAATATGGTGCAAATAGTAAATTACAGATTTACTCATCGAGTTTTCATATTATTTTTATATTACATCCGCCCACCAAGTTTGACACTCGGTGTCGGTAGCTGGTGGCTTCAAATTCATATTTTAGTACTCAATGATTTTTTGATTTTTTTATTTTTTTTGGGGTTTAATAACAATTGATGATCCAATGAATTCATTCAAAATCAAGAAAATCTTGAATATTAGAGTGAAGAACTAACACGAAAATATAAAATAAGCTTGTACGCAAAGACAATCATTCAATATTATTTGTTTCATCAAATTTTCTAAGTTACAAAGAAACAATTCAAAAACAATGTTAAATAATATGGAAACATATGCAAGTAGAAGAACTAATATTTTAATTTTGTAGTCCGCCTTGTCACATTGACTTAGATCCTGTTTATATATTTGAGTTGTGAAGGATTTTATCGAAGGGAATAGAAAATAGAAATCGTGAATCAAATAGAACTTTTATTCACAAATTCTCTCCTTTTTTCTTTCTCCACAAGTGGAAGATGCAAACACATAGAACAATTTTGGTTCAACTAGAATGATACATGCATTTTGATAGGAAATAAGGTAAATATATTCTCTTTTTTCACTTTGTTTCAAGTATATTCAATTATATCCTTTGATGTGTTTTAAGGTTACTCATTATTTTTTCATTTTTACTCATGTTTCAAATAAAGAAAATTCTATGATACACACTCCCTTTGAGGTGTGGAGGGTATATACTATATGTATTTCTAGTTATATGTTTTTTGATATTTAGTTATGACATATGAAAATGTTAGTTATGATTTATGTGATATCAATTATAACATTATTTTTGTTGTGATCCAAGAGTTCTTTGGTTAAACTCTGTATGATGTTTGGTTATAAAAAAAAAATTTCCCAGTGATACCTCCTGTGTAAGTGATTTTCTAACCACACTGCCCGCTTAGTAACCAGCTGGAGAGCACCGGCAGAATAGATGGCACCTGGCTGACCTGCAACAGAAAGAGAAGATTCCGGCGGTGGTTCGTCCACCCGGGGGCACTCCGACGATCAAGTCAGTATATCTCTCAAAGATAAATCAACTGCTAAACTCACAAGCTTGAGTATCAAAAGCATACCTTAGACCCATGGGGGTGCCTCTCTTTTATAGCCAACATAAACCTAGTCCCAATTGAAGCCTAACTTCTATGGATTCAGAATTACTGCTAATTTTGGACTCCCAGTAAGATTAGGATAAACTCTCTAAGAGTCTTATCTAAGTACAAACTGAAGTCTTCTCTCATTCTAGGACTCTTGCCCCTCATCCGCTTATCTCGGATTCCAATATCTTCGGAGGTAACCTCGACCTATCCGAGATGACCTCGGCATAACAACCAGGACACGTGGCACCTCGGCTGACACGTCGGCGTCACCACGTGCTGTCACTCTCAAAATAACTTCAACTTGTAAATCCCTAGGTTTTATTACTTCGGCATTCTGAGGTGATGGAACCTATACTGTTCGTTCATCTGTGCCCCTCTGTCCGAGATCAAACTCGCCGACCTCAAAGTTCCCTGGACTTTACTGTCCACTTCTGTAAAGTATCAAGCTTCATGCTTTCCAAGCTGCTCGAGATCACACCTCCTAGCCGAGGTTCTTGTTCCATTAATTTGTAAACTCCAAGAGCTTTGTAACTGCTCCACTCACATTCTTCGGTGGGTTCCCGACTTCCGGTCATCTATTTGACTCCAGCGATCTTCATATCGGCGTTCATTTCTCTTGGTAGGTTCATAAACTCTTTTATTAAGCTCAATCTTTCTTAACTCTTCTGAATCCATTTACTTGCCCTCTATTGTCTTCTATTTTCGTCTGTAAGTTTTGAATTGTTTGAACGCTTGGCACTGTTCTTGCCATATCCGCTTTCTGTTGCTAGCATTGTGTATGGGTCATTACTTTTTTGTTCTTCACATACTTACTTGGTGCCTGTGCACTTGGCTTTATTCTTGAACTTTGTCGTCTTCTTAACTCTGATTTTTCTCTTTTTTTATTCAATCCTCTGTCTTTTTCTCTTTCTAGCTCTTTTGCTTAAATCTGTCGTTGTTCCAAGCTTTCAAGCTCTGCAACTGTTTTTGTTCCTCTCCTCCGGTGAAGCTTACGTCATTCTGTCATTTGCACATCCGTCGTCAGTCTTCGGCAATTCTCATTCCGGCTTCCCTCTTTCTGGTAAGCCACTGTTCCTCTTGGTTTTATTTCTTGTTGCTTTTCAAGAAGCTCTGCTTCATTGTTAATCACCATTGTTGTTTTACCCGTTGTTTCCAAATCATCTTCTTGAATACACACTGTTCACACATCTATTGATTTCTGCCACTGTTCTTGGCTTGACACACCTGTGCAATCTTTTTGTCTTGATTTCCTGATAGCTTCATCACCATTCTTGATTACGAATTACATTTTTGTTTCTATTTTCTGTGTCTTTTTCCAGATTCTTGCTTTCAATCCTTGCCTTCAAACTCCGAGGTGCCAATCACTGAGAAAAGCTTTGATCAAACTCTTCGGGAGATCGATGCTGAGCTCGAGGCCGAGAAGGCCGCTGAGAAGTCTTCCCAACTGTCTTCTATATCCTGCCATTGATGCCGAGTAGTTTTGTTTCCTTCTTTTACTCCTTTATGAACCTTATAAAAGGTCTTCAACCTAGCTAACTGCAGTTCAACCTTGTGTGTTTTCTTTTTTTATCTTCTGGGATCTGAGATCTGCTCACTGAGGTCTTCTCTTCTTGGACTTAAGTGCCGAGATCTTGTTTGCTAGAATCTTGGATCTACTCACTCAGGTTGAGCTCTTCTCTTCTCGGACCGACTCATCTAGGCCGA